AGTATACGAGCTATTTTGGTTCTAGTACATTTGCTCCATGTATCAAATTTTTTTCCAAAAAGATAATCAATTCGCAGATCAATGCCTTCTTTTATGATAATATGATGATATGCCATGACAAACAAAAGTAAACAAAAAGAACAAAAAAAGAAACACAAGTTACTCAGGATAATAAGATAAAGATAAAATAAATACTACCTACCATATCATGGTACCTAGCCAATCATATTTTTATTAAAGCAACAATCTTACCCATACATGCTTTCTACCTACATGCTTGAATTGTGTAATCACAATCTACCCACATGGTGTCTAGATTTCATGCTTTTATTTCTAAAATAAATTTATTTTATGAATTAAAAGGCAAAGGTTAGGAGACATTCTTCCTTTGTGTACTTATTAGGGTGAATACGGTCAGATCGAGTTTCAGCATGATTTCTGACGGATAATGGTTTACTATATGCAAAGTTCAGGTTCAAAGGTAATAGAGGTACTCGAATTGTCCTTGTTATTGGTGCCCTCTTGGGCTGTCAAACCCTCAATCCTCATTCATTATAGACTTAAGAATATCGAGTTCAATACAAAGAAGCACATTCCTTATGTCTACACAGAGGGCTACTCATGAAGATCATAAGGGCATGTACTCCAAGAGTGATTCACTATCATGTGCCGAGGGTTACTCATAAAGGCACTAGTAACTCACTCCCACTTAGTGGGACATAGCTTGTGTATAGAACTTATGACATGCAAATGCATGTGATGTGTGTGAGGAAGAAATCACAAACCTTTTACCAAAAAAACAAAAAAAAACATGACTGATTTATTTCAAAAAAGTTAACTTATCTAAAAATAATGAAATCCAATCATTAGTGCAACTATTTACAATAAATCAATAAAATATGATGCATGATTATGAGAATTGAAATAAAAAAGGATCATAACTCAAGTAACGGTTCAAATTTGTAAAATTTCATCAACTCGAATTACATATAATCGAACAGGGTCTGACTCTCTAGTTCCCCAACGGAGTCACTGATCTTTCATAACCATTTTTTATAAGTTATTAAATTTTAAAACAAATTTGAAAATAATTATGACTTTATTTTGGAAATTTTGGATTTCGGTTTAATTTGAAATTTGGAGTCGCCATCGACCTTTGAGTTATGTAGGTCGAATATCTAAAAAATATATTTTAAAACAATTTTAAGAAAATTGTTTTTATGATATAAATTGGTCTATGTTTACCAAAGATTAATTTTAAAGTTTTCGAGAGTCTATTGTGCGTGGGGAAGGGTAAGCACCCCCACAACGTCCAAAATTGGTACCTCTCGATTCTATGTTGTCTAAGTAGTGGAATTTTACAAATTTGAATTCAAAATTTAAATTACGATTCTTTTATTTCGATGAGTTAATTTATTTTTTTTTCTTTTTTTTTATATTTGACTCAATAAAAAAATAAATTAATTCACTCGATCTTATTTTAAAAGGATGTTCCCTTACTACGTGAATTAACAAAAATTGAAATCCAATTATGTTGGACGTAATTTCGTTAACTCAATATGCAAGACAACATTGCCTTTAATTCTTTTGGAAAACGAGAAAACAAATGCATGATTTATGAATGCAAAAATAATAAATGATATGTATATGATGTATGAAATATGAAATATCAATCAAATAAATAATAAATAATACAATATGACACAAAAATATTTATAATTATTAATTTAGAAATTGACAGTATGTCTTTCACTCCTGTGTCTTAAAGAAAAAAGCACTCAGGTATTTAGAAGTTTTCTAACCGATCGCTCTTCGTTCAAGATGTTATCATAAAATAAAATATAATTCTCCTATTAAAATATTTTTTATATATGTACAAAGATACATAGAAAAGTAACATTGTTTAAAATAAAAATATTTTTGTGTCTAAAAGATTATAGAATAGAAATAATAAATAACCAATAATAAAATATAAATAAAATAAAAAATGAATATTTATATTAAAAGTCATCTTTTACGAAATATTCAATATATATTATATTATAAATATATGTTGAAAACATTTTGATGTTTCGATATAACAAATAGAGTATAAATGATATTAAGATTTTATATCTGATTTCAAATATTCGAATTAAATTATTCGAATATCAAAAATATTACTCCAAGTTTTCAAATGTCAATTTCAAACCTTAAGTGTAAAATTGTGTATGGGTCTTAAAATATTTTTGAAACAATTTTTACAAAGTATTTCGAACCTTAATCGGGCCAAAAATGATTTTTGCAAAGGGAGCTACCGATACACTCTTGGATGTATCGATACACCCCCAACATCGAATGCATTTTGTGTATCGATACACTGGCTGATGTACCGATACACCCCTGGATCCGAGAAACATCGAATGTAATTAGTGTACCGATACACCTGGGATGTATCGATACACTAGGTCAACCAACGGTCGGAGTATTTGAATTTTACACAGAGTGTACCGATACACCCAAGCTCCCAACAGAATTTTTAAATGATAATTACACCATAACGACTCTATTGACTTCACCAATGATCCCCAAAGTTCAGAAGTGATCCAAGGTATATTTAAACAAGTTGAGGAGCCATTGATCAAAGACAAGAAACAAGAATTGAGAGAGAATCAAAGAGAAAGCCTTGAACTTATCGTTTGAGCATTTTCAAGCCTATTTTCATTCAATATTCATTTTGCTTTCAAGAACACCATTTGCGCTCAATTGTATTCATTCTTGAGTGTTCTTTCTTTGTTCTAGAATTGTGCAAATATCTTGCCTTGTGAGGTTTTCTGTAAGTTTGCGAAATTTGTAATTTTCTCTTTGGGAGAGAGTGTTCTCAAGAATTTGGGGTATAATTCTTGAGGGATTTGTAAGGTTACTCTTTGTCCTCAAAAGAAAGACAAATTAGTGAATTTGTGGGAAATCCTTATTGTGGATAGTTAAGGTAGTGGACGTAGACATGGTTGAGAATTTGAACCACTCTAAATCGCTGTGCAATCTTTTTCAATTTTCTGCAAAAGCTTCCATCAAAATTTTTATTGCCAATTCACCCCCTCTTGGCCGATTCGTTGATCGATTAACTCAATAATATATTTAAATATTTAAAAGTGTTATTTTTTATAAGAATATAGACAAAAGGAAACTACCATATATATATATTACTAATTTAAACTATAACATATATTTGATATGGTATCTGCATATATATATATATGTACTAAATATATAAAAACAGAGTTGGACATATTTACATATATAAAATTATATATTATATAAACATATGTGTATATATATAAAAGGATGAATTAAAATAAAATGATAAAAAAATGTAAGGACTAATTAAAAAATAAAAACCAAATTCAGGGACTAACATGAAATAAACCCATAAATTCTCGTAAATGTGTTATGAACTAGACAGGGATGAAAACATAATAAAAGAAAATAAAAGGCATGAAGCATAAAAATTATATTTCGATTGATGACTAAACTGAGAACATTACAAATAGAGGGAACTGAATCATGAGTAAATCCAAACTTTTAGTGACTAAAATGAAGCATGAAAAAATTAAAAGGATGGAAAACATAATAAACTCATATGTATTAATGACCAAATTGCAAGGATTATAAAGCTTGAAGGACCTGGGATGTTGTTAACCTACGCGGGTTTGGCATGGTTGCCCTAACCTTCAAAACTACGTCGTTTTGGGTACCATATATAAGTGAAAATCAAGACTAAAATTTAGCCTAACTCTTCATTTTCTCTCTTATCTCAAAAACATATTTGAGAGAAATCTCTCAAAGCTTTTCTTCCTGATCTTTCGCCAGTGAAGATAAAACGACCGATCTTCACTCAATGGCATTGACAACCACCGTTGACCACTGTCGACGATGGCCAGAAAATTTAAAATTACTCAAATCACTCTCCCCACTTTCCCAAATCCAAATCCGAGATCACCCTTACCTAAATCTCAATCAAAACACTTACTGTTATAGCAGGAGAAGAGGAGGAAGAACGTGGTGTTAGAATCGAAGGCGGAGAGAAAGAACGGAGGAATGAAGAAGATTTGGGATTAGAAGAATGAGGGTTAGGGATTGAGGAAAATAATTTGGGGATTGAAAGTAGGGAAGGAATTGAAGCACGAGGGAGCAATACCTTGGACTTAGCTGATGTGTTGGAGAAGACCAAGGGAACAGTAGAGAAGTGTGAGAGGCCCAATCTGAACGGCCCAATACCTGCAAATGATATAGAAGGATAGGAATCAGTTTGTTATTATTCTGTTATGACAGCTGCCCATGTTTGAGTCTCAATTCCAGCTTGTAACTAAATAATACCTGATGTGTAATCACATTTTCCTTATGCAATGAATGAATGACTATTTTCTTCTGTACATTCTCTCCTTCTTTTCTCGTATCTTTCTCTATTTATCTCATTCCATAAAAAATTGGTATCAGAGCCAGGTTACATGGTGTTTCTGCATAATGTAACCATCAAACCAAACTTCTACCTTGCCTGATAAATACATTGTAGCTAGTTCCACTCTCTGCTCAACAGGAACCCCACAAATAGAAAAGTATTTCAGGCATTTCTGAACCCACCCTCTCGGATTAACCCCTTCAAAGAAAGGAAGTTTTATTTTAGGTCTATTCCACATAATCCCAGAACTAAATGAACCCCCTGGCCCCCTTTTTTCAGCTTCTAGTCCCAATATAATAGGTCTAGAGTCACTGTTTTCACCCATTTGATTCTCAGACCTAGAATTGTTCTTAATGGCTAAACAAACATATGGTTTAGTCTTTAATAAACCAGGTTCATCCGTTTTATAAGTAAACCTAGATTTGTCATTCACCACAGTCACCATAACAGGAGTCTTCTCCTTAGTTTTAAAAGTATCAGGAGATTGTACATGTTCCCCCACTGATTGCTCTTGGCCCCCAGTTCTGCCTGTCAGTATCTTTAATATATCTTCCACATAGTTATGATTTGTGGTCATCCTGGCCTCCAGTGCAGTAATCCTGTTCTCCTAAGTCTCCCACCATTTAGGTGGATTAGTCTCATTCTGACCTTGTTTCACCAAAGTAGCAAGGTCTTCAATCTGTTTGAAGCTGATCTCTGTCATAGATTCAGTGATAGAACTTTTTCTGATATTGTTGAGGAGTTCACTAAATTGACTCAGAAGGGGTATGTGGAAGAGTATCAAGAGAAGTTTGAGGAGTTGCAACCTCATATGCTGTTGCAGAATCCTACTTTGACAGAGGAATTTTTTGTGTCACTTTTTATTAGTGGACTTAGAGAGGATATCAAGCATAAGGTCAAGGCTTTAGATCCTAAAAATTTATCTGAAGCATCTAAACAGGCCAAGTTGTATGAACTGTCTGTGGAGTTTCAGAACAGAAGAGTGAGGTCTTCTTTTAAAACCCCACCCTACCCAAATCCCTTATATACATCTAAAACAAATACACTGATAGTCCCTACCAAACCTACTTCAGTACCAAATCAAAAGCAAAGTCTTATGGATTACAGAAGAATAAATAATCTCTGTTTTAGATGTGGTGAAAAGTATTTTCCAGGTCATCAGTGTAAAACCAGGCAATTGAATATGATTACTGAGGAGATGGAAACTTCTACATTGGAAAATGATCATACTGCTACAGAACACTTTCAGCAACAAGAGGAGGAAAATTTGGAGATTTTTATGAATGCTATTACGGGCTGCATTGGCCATAATACATTGAGAATACAAGGTACTATTCAAGGTAAACCATTGAATATCCTAATTGATAATGGTAGCACGCATAGTTTCTTGACTCATAAATGGGTTGATATTGGCATACAAATTAAAACTCCTTATCCCTTGGCTATCACTGTGGCTAATGGTCAACAGTTATTTAGTTCTGCCCATTGCAACAAAGTTGAATGGCAAATGCAGGGACATACTTTTTTACATGATTTTAGGTTGCTCAAATTGGGAGGAAGTGACATGGTCTTGGGAGTTGATTGGATGAAGTTATTCAGTCCAATATTAATGGACTTCAATAATATGACTCTAAGCTTTGACCATCAAGGAGAGCAAATTTGTATTCAGGGACAACAACCCTCATCTGAACTACAACAAATATCAGGAGCTACCTTACTTAAAATGTCTGCATGGGATTCAGATATTTTGGGTCATGTGGTATTATTAACTATGGCAGGAAATTCTACTTCTATTCCTATTGAACTATAGCATGTATTGGAGCGGTATAGCATAGTTTTTTCTGAACCTAAAGGCCTACCTCCTCAGAGATCTCATGATCATGCTATTTTACTGAAATCTAATTCTACAACTGTTAATTTAAGGCCTTACAGGTTTCCTCATAATCAGAAGGTAGAGGTAGAAAAACATATTGCTAGTATGCTTTCTTCTTCCGTTATTCAGCCTAGCAAAAGTCCATTTGCATCACCTTACCTTCTTATTAAAAAGAATGATGGCACTTGGAGATTTTGTGTGGATTATAGGCAATTAAATACTATGACAATCAAGGACAAATTTCCTATTCCTATTGTGGAGGATTTATTGGATGAGTTGCATGGGGTAGTATATTTTTCTAAGATTGATTTGAGGTCTGGATATTGGCAAATTAGAATCAGACCAGAGGATATTTATAAAATAGCTTTCAGAACACATCAAGGGCATTATGAGTTTAAGGTAATGCCTTTTGGCCTTACTAATGCACCTGCTACATTTCAGGCTCTTATGAATGAGTTATTTTATTCTTTCCTAAGGAAATTTGTTTTAGTTTTCTTTGATGATATATTAGTGTACAGCAACAGTATGCAGGAGCATGTTCAACATTTACAAATGGTGTTAGAAGTTTTTCAAGTTAATCAATTATTTGCAAAACTGTCCAAATGCTTTTTTGGACAGACTAAGGTGGAATATCTTAGTCATATTATTTCTGCTGCAGGGGTGTCTACTGATCCTAGCAAGATTGAAGTGATGCAATCTTGGCCTAGGCCTAAAACCCTTAAATCTCTCAGAGGGTTTCTTGGTCTAACAGGTTATTATAGGAGATTTATCAAAGATTATGGCATTATTAGCAGGCCATTGACAAAGATGCTAAAGAAGAATGGATTTCAGTGGAATTCTGTTGCTTATGTTGCTTTTGAAGATCTTAAAAAGGCTATGTGTACTGCTCCAGTCCTAGCCCTGCCAGATTTTTCTAAGACATTTTATTTGGAAACAGATGCTAGTTCTGGAGGTGTGGGGGCTGTTTTGTCCCAAGAGGGAAGGCTTATTGCATATTTGAGTAAAGCTCTAAGCCCTAGAGATTCATTATTATCTATTTATGAAAGAGAATATCTTGCTATTCTATTAGCTGTTGCTAAATAGAGACATTATTTGGAGAGTAGCCCATTTGTTATTAAAACTGATCATGAGCCCTTAAAATTTTTGTTAGAGCAGAAGTTGACCACTATCATTCAAAAGAAAGGGTTGACAAAGTTGTTGGGATTAGATTATACTATTCAGTACAGGAGAGGGAAGTCAAATATAGTTGCTGATGCTTTATCTAGAAGATGGGAGGATCAAGGCCAATGTTTGACTATGGGGGTGACAGTTTTGATTCCTAGTTGGGTTCAAGAGATTGAGGACAGTTATAAGGAGGATTCTTTAGCTCAAAATTGGATATCAATTTTGACTATTAATCCTGCTGCTGATAATAAGTGGAAGTATACTAAGGTTGTCCTTAGATATGAAGGAAGAGTTTATGTGGGAGCTACTGGAAGTCTTAGATTACAGATTATACAGAATATGCATGATTCTCCTCAAGGAGGACATTCAGGTGCACAGGCTACATATTATAGGATTAGGTCAAATTTTTATTGGCCAAATCTTAAATCAATGGTTGCTACTTATGTACGATGTTGTGACATTTGCCAGCAGACTAAAGTAGAACATATTGCTAAGCCTGGTTTGCTACAACCCTTACCTGTTCCTACTCAAGCTTGGGAAATCATCACTATGGATTTCATTGAGGGTTTACCTACTTCACTAAAGAAAAATTGTATTTTAGTGATTGTGGATAAATTCACAAAGTACAGTCATTTTCTATCTTTATCTCATCCTTACACTGCAGCAGAGGTAGCTAAACTCTACCTAGACAATATTTATAAACTACATGGCCAGCCTAAAATGGCCATTTCTGACAGAGATAAGACATTTACTAGTTTGTTTTGGAGGGAATTGATGAAACAATTGGGTACTAAAGCAGTTTTCAGCACTGCTTACCATCCAGAAATATATGGCCAGACAGAAAGGGTTAATCAGTGTTTGGAGCAATATTTAAGAGGCATTTGTTTATATCAACCTAGAAAATGGGCTAAATGGCTACCTCAGGCAGAGTGGTGGTATAACACCACTCATCATACTGCTTTAAAGATGACTCCATTTCAAGCATTATATGGATACAAACCACCTATTATGGTTTGGCCTACATACTACTGTACAAACAATCAATGAAATTATGAATAGCAGTGAACATCTAAGATAGCTTGTTAAACAGCAGTTAGAGTTAGCCAGTAATAGGATGAAGCAACAAGCAGATAAGAATAGATCATAAAGGAATTTTAATGTTGGAGATTTGGTTTACCTGCGATTACAGCCCTATCGGCAGACTTCCCTTACCCTGCGCAGAAATCTCAAGTTAGCAGCAAAATACTATGGACTATATAAAATAATTGAAAAGATAGGTGCAGTGGCTTATAAATTGCACTTACCAGAGTCATCGAGACTTCACCCAGTATTCCATGTGAGTCTCTTGAAGAAGTTCATCGAGGATTCCTCCAAAGCTGTCACAGATCCTCCTGCAATAGAAGATGACGGTCAGTTACGAATCAAGCCATTGAAGGTGGTGGGAAGACGTATCGTGAATAGAAATGGTAAACCCATAACTCAGCTATTGATTCGATGGGAGAACTTGGATGAAGCGAATGATACTTGGGAAGACTATTCCGTTTTGCAAGGACAATTTTCTATGTTTGATCCTTGGGGACAAGGATCGTCTCAAGCCGGGGGTATTGTTATAGCAGGAGAAGATGAGGAAGAACGTGGTGTTAGAATCGAAGGCGGAGAGGAAGAACGAAGGAATGAAGAAGATTTGGGATTAGAAGAACGAGGGTTAGGGATTGAGGAAAATAATTTGGGGATTGAAAGTAGGGAAGGAATTGAAGCACGAGGGAGCAATACCTTGGACTTAGCTGATGTGTTGGAGAAGACCAAGGGAACAGTAGAGAAGTGTGAGAGGCCCAATCTGAACGGCCCAATACCTGCAAATGATATAGAAGGATAGGAATCAGTTTGTTATTATTCTGTTATGACAACTGTCCATTTTTTAGTCTCAATTCCAGCTTGTAACTAAATAATACATGTTCTGTAATCACATTTTCCTTATGCAATGAATGAATGACTATTTTCTTCTCTACATTCTCTCCTTCTTTTCTCGTATCTTTCTCTATTTCTCTCATTCCATAACACTTACATCTAGGATTATACCTTTTGAAATCTCTGAAATTCGGCGTGCTCTCGGCTCTCCGAAAAGCAAAGAATGAGATAAGTCTTTTTCTACTCACTTATCTTTTTTTCTTTTTTGATTTGGTTGTTTGGTTCTCTTTCTTATTTTTTCCGGTTTGATTCATTCTTCTTTATTTTTTCGTTCAGCCCCCTTTTCGAAAATGGCCTCCTCTTTAAATCTTGTGTTGCATGTCCTCTATATCACTTGTGGAGTGTCTTGTAGTACCGAGAGCCTATGTCGTAGGACATGATTATCCTATTTTCAACACTTGATAGTCTTTGATTTTTCTTGGGATTTTCCTTGTTTTATCTAAATGGAATTGTATAAATATTTTTTTTGACTGATTTTGGCTTTTTGTTTGATTGACATGTTGATGGTTGGCTGAAATGGTGGAGTCAGAGTGGTTTGGCCTAGGCGACGGCGGTGACAGGTGCATACAGTAGCATTGGTGGTGTATTAGGTTTAGGGTTCCAAAAGCCCTAATTCTCTTCTCATCTAGGTTGTTGGATCAAGCACATACCCAATGGTTAGGAGAAAGTTGCGATTGGGGAGAAGATATGGAAACCCTAATTATTGTTAGGTTATCATACAAACCATCTTCTTGGGATTCAATTTTGGCATGTTGGGTCACTTGGTCTGTTTTGTAATTCAAGACTGAATCTTGTAATAATGGGCCTCGTTTGTAACCTAAAAATGAATAAAAGATCAATATAAAATTGGTTATTAATATATATTTTATTTTATATTATATTATATTAACTTTAACCTAGAATGTTCAAACTTGATTAAAACCCAAACACAAATGTTGATAACATACAATTAACACAAATGGCAAACCTTAAAATAATTACCAAATATAAAGAAATCAAAAAATATACTAGAAATAAAGTAAAATGGAAAAGGAATGATAAAATAAAAATGAAAAGGGAAATTTGGTCTTGGACAAAATATAATGTCTACAAAGGGTTCATATATGGCCTAATGGATAAGGCGCTTGCCTCCGAAGTAAGAGATTGTGGCCTGAGTCCCATTCTGAACAGATTTTAAATTAAAATTTTAAAATTTTAAAATTGATGGTGTCTTAAAAAGTAATATCAAAAAAATTAAGAGGGGAAAGGACTTAATTTCAAAAGATAATTAGACCGTGGGGGGCATGTCCGTCCTGCCTGTTGCAAAAGATGGTAAAATCATAGTGAAGCCACCTGGAGAGGTAAGAGTGAGTAATGAAACATCGATGTTATAAGACAACTTTTGGGGCAAATACCCAAAATTTAGTTTATTTTAGAAAGTTGTTGGGTAAAGTATAATTAATTTAAAAATAATTTTAGGTAAATTTTTTAGGTAAATTATATCACGTTACTTTATTATTAATAAGTTAATAATTGAGTCGTCATATTTCAAAAAGTTATATTCGAATCACCTAAGTTATTAATGGTTGTAGCCATCATGTCATTGTGATCTAAAATCTCAAACGAATGTTAAAATTTTTATTTACAATTAGATCACTCAATATTGAGTAAGTTTACATATTGGGCACTCAACTTTTGGTTATAAGCAAACTTTTTTGTGCTTTTCTTTTCTAATTTCTTACATGGTGTAATATCTACTCCTTATTGTCTTAGGGTTAATTTTGGACAAAAATTCTTCGATATGTTTTTATTTTATGAATCTATAAATAAAATTGAGGACATTCTTAACTATTAATTTTAAAGTTGCAAAGACACTTTAAACATTTGATTGCATCATTACAAAAAGATTTACTCAAAGTTGAGTGATCAAAAGATGAATTTTTAACATCTATTTAAGATTTAACGCCACAATAACCTAATCGTTGCAATCGATAAACAAATTAAATGACTTAATTATAAATTTTAAAATAAAATGACCCGATTGTAAAAACAATAATAATAGAGTGACCATTATCCAATAATAATAATAATAATAATAATAATAATAATAATAATAATAATAATAATAATAATAATAATAATAATAAAAGCAAGTTACGATATTCAATAATTAATTTAGTGATCAATGATACTAATATTATTTTGAAAATAGGCTTAAGTATACAAAGAGTGTACAACCTATGTTTGTTTTTCCAGTTTAGTGCCTAACGTTTAGTTTGTTTCAGTTTGGTGCATAATGTTTCATTTCGTTACTTAAAATGGGTCAAGCCGTGACGGACCGTTAAATTTGACTGTTAACCCATTAAAAATGTCACCTGGCATATTTTTTAATATTAAAAATGATTTCTGAAAATAAGAAATTATTTCGTTACATTTTAGTGTCTAACATTTCTTTTGTTCTAGTTTGATGTCTAACATTTCTTTCCCTCTCCTCCCTTCTCCACCCTTTTTTTGAAATTGAATTCAAGAATACTAAATCAATCTTGCACATACATATATATATCCACCCATGCTATCTCTAGAATCAGCAGAAATCATGACACCTTCCTTGAAGATGAAGGCAAGTGTGGTGGTTCATTTAACATGTTCTGCCATTTGAATAGCTTCATTTTGAAACCCATCAAACCGCAACACAAAATCCAACCAACCATCAAAATAAGCTGCGAATCTTCCTCTTTTCATTCATAAAAATGTCATTAATTAGCACAACATATTAACTCACATCAGTAGTAATCAGGAGTTCAAACAACGGAGCAGTCGAAAACCTATTGAAAAACTCAATAGGAGAACTCCAGACCGCCGCTGATTCTAGACCAGTGGTAGAGAAGGGGAAGAGAAGGAAAGAAATGTTAAGCATCAAATTGAAACGAAATAAATGTTAGGCATTAAATTGGAACAAAATAATTTCTTATTTTCAGAAATCATTTTTTAATATTAAAAAAATGATAGGTGGCATTTTTAATGGGTTAACGACCAAACTTAACGGTCTGTAACGGCTTGATCAATTTTGAGTAACGAAATGAAACGTTAGACACCAAACTGAAACAAAATAAATGTTAGGCACTAAACTGGAAAAACAAGCATAGATTAGACACCTTTTGTATACTTAAGCCTTGAAAATATAATTTCTATTGCACGAACTAAGTGACATCCGAGGTAAATGAATTGGTGTTATTCTTGAGGACTTGGGTTCGAGCACCATAGATGTCATGGGTGTGAGACTTCAATGTTAAAAGGTTGAGAGTTATCTGTGAATAGATACAAGATTTATTTATAAAATAAGTGTTCAAAATATATCACTTTTTCTAAATTGGTGTCTAATTTTTTTGAATCATTCAGGTTTTATTATTTCAAACGTTATCACTTTAGGTGCCCAGACTATAATTGTCCTTAAAATTTCTCCATTAAATGACACATGTCACGTTTTTGTAATTTTTATTTTTTTTAAAAATAATAAAAATATTATTATATTTATAAAACCCCTAGTTTCTCTTAAACTATAAAAAATCACAAATCCATAAAAATCCTAAATCGCAACACTAACCCACTGACATCGTCTTTGTCGACCACAACCATCATTGTCATAATTTGTTACATAGGGTTCATCAAGGTACAAACGTCGATTGGTTACTATTTTATAGGGTTATCGATCGTCGAATGGGGATTAGATCAAGTGGAGCTTTGTTGAAGGTAGAGGGTGGCGATCGATATGAGTTTAAGGTTTGAAATGAAAATTTTCAAAGTTTTGGAGTGTTTTTAAATATTTCAAAAAAAAATTATACAATTTTATTTTTTAATTTTAAATAATTTTTTTAAATTATCAGGACATGATCCATATTCTTTAACGACATAGTTTAACGATAGGTAATATTCGAACACCTAAATTGATATAGTTATGAATGATTAAAAATCATTTAAGCACATATTTAAAAAAACAATATTTTTAGTGACGATCCTAAAACACTGCCAATACAGATTGTATATTAACTCCCAACAAAATTTATACTCATAAAGCCAAAATTCCTCTTTCTTTTTCCTTGTATTGAAGCTAGGGTTCTTCCTACGGTGCAAGCTCTCTAGGGTTTTCCGATCGGCAAGCATTTAGCTTTGCTTCTGAGTCGTTTCGCAATGCCTCGGTAATGAATATTTTCAAATTCGTTCAATCTTAATTAAGCGTTCTCACTACGAAATTTCTTCATTAGCATTTCGTGGATATCTTTGCTTGGATTCAAATTCTGCAGGTATTACTGTGATTATTGAGACACTTATTTGACCCACGATTCTGTTAGTTCCTAATTATTTTCTATTTGGGGTTTTCATTTTTTTGAATTGATTTTCTTGAAAATTAAGGAACTTCTAATTTTTCTCTTTTCTCGGTTTAAATTTCAGCCATGAGTTAGAAAGCAGCACAATGCAGGTTATAAACACAAGGTAATTGTAGAAATTCTTGTCTTTGTATTGATTTATTTAGAGAGGTGAGTAAAATTGACTCGAAAAAATTGATTTTTTTTAACTTGACTAATTTCATAAATACGACTTGAAAAAGTTTCAAATGAATTATGATTTAAAAAATATAACTAGAAACTTTTAGTGATTAGTAGAATAGTTTTCAAGTTTGAGTTGAGTCACTCAACTCTGCCTATATGCATATAAAAAATATGAAGAAAAATACATGCATATTGTATATGGTTATAGAAAACCATTTAAAATTGAATCAATTTAGTGTTATAACATAAAAAATATTTACAATTAAATTTAAGCAGAAACTCGAACAACTTAACTCAACTTGAAAAAAATTCAAATAAAGTTCGAGATATAAAATAAGACTCGACTAACTCAAATTTTTTTACTCGACTTGATCAAATACTCACCCCTAAATTGATCTTGTGAGTTTTGCTGATTTGTTGTTTTTTAGGCGAATGTTAGAACTTACTATCAGCAATTTGAGGAGCAGCAGACCCAGAGTTTAATAGACCAGAGGATCAAGGAACATCTTGGTCAAGCTGCGGCTTTCCAGCATGTTGGAGCTGCTTTCAATCAACATTTAATGGCTCAGAGGCCTCGACTTCCTAATATGCCGATCCCTGGGGCTGGTCCGTTACCTGTAAATCAACCGATGGTCCCAGGAATGAGGCCCCCTGTTTTGGCAAGACCTGTTCCCGGTGCTCCTGGTAAGATTCAAACTGGATACATATTAGCATATTTCGTGTTCTTGCTAATGTAGCCGTAGGGTTTCAATATTTGGGTAATAAACGTATCCATCCTGAATTGATGTTGTGATATGAGCTTGATGAGTTTTTTGCATGCTTGTTTTGGTTCCATCAAGCTGTTGTATTTTCACACATCATCTCATCCTGGGACTGCACTGTTAGCCGTTAATCAATCAATGGTCCCAGGAACCAGGCCCCATTGTCTGCCAAGACCTTTTCCGAGTGCTCAATTAGTATTATTCACGTTCTCTCTGTACTTGGATTTTGTTAATAAACATACTCTATCTCGAATTATGTGACTGTGGACTGATAATTTTTTGCTTGTTTTGGTTCTATCAAGCTCTTGTTTTTTCACACTTCATCTCATTCCTGGGGTCGCACCGTTAGCTGTAAATCAATCAATAGTCCAGGGCCGGTCTGCTGAGACCATCTCCGAGTGCTCGAGTAGTATTATTCGTGTTCTTGTTGTACACAGATTTTGTTAATAAAACTATTCTATCTTGAATTATGTGTGATTGTGGACTGATAATTTTTTGCTTGTTTTGGTTCCATCAAGCTGTTGTTTTTTCACACTTCATCTCATTCCTTGGACTGCACTGTTAGGTAAATCAACCAATGGTCCCAGGATTCAGGCCCCATAGTCTGCCCAGACCATTTTCGAGTACTCGAGTAGTATTATTCGTGTTCTTGTTGTACCCGGATTTTGTTAATAAACATACTCTATCCAGAATTTTGTGTGATTGTGGACTGATAATTTTTTGCTTGTTTTGGTTACTTCAAGCTGTTGTTTCTTCACACTTCATCTCATTCCTGGGACTTCACTGTTTCTCTGTTAGCTGTAAATCAACCAATGGTCCCAGGAATCAGGCCCCATAGTCTGCCAAGACCATTTCCGAGTGCTCGAGTAGTATTATTCGCATTCTTCTTGTACTCTTATTATGTTAATCAACATACTATATCTTGAATTATGTGTGATTGTGGATTCTGGATTGTGATAGTTTTTTTTGCTTAAAGGTGTTTTATATGTCAAGCACTTCATCTAGCTTGATTGACACTGGCATCCTTTCAGTCAAGGGATTGGCTTTTCCATCATAGATCTTGATCACACACATAAAATGGAAATATGGGACTGAATAAATATATATACACATTTGGGTGTCAATGGCAGGTTATGCTCCCATTCCAGGCATGCCGCCGCCGATGATGGCACCACCTTGTGCTCCTTTGCCGGGACAAGTTAACAGCCTTCCACGACCTCCTACATTGGCTACCCCAACGACAGTTGCTGCAACTGCGACGACACCCACTTCTTCTAATGGAACCCCGGCCACGTCTGCACCGTATCAGGTCAGTTCTGCTGCCTCAACGAGTGACGGGTTCGACAATTTCAATGCCCATACACAACCTTCTGAAGCTAATCACTAATCTGGTTAAACTCGCATGCCCTTGCTTCCATATCTAAAGTAAGAGGTTAAGCCCTATATATGTTGTTGAACATGAAGCTTTGGTGGTCGGTGACGGGAGATTTTGGTTAAATTTAAAGGTGAAATTGATATATATATATATATATATATATATATATATATATATTTGAAAAAATTTAAGGGGTTAAAATGATGTTTTATTTAAAGATAGGAGTCAATTTGATAGTTAACCATTAGGCACTAACCCACTCATCTTCATGGAGTTTCTTTCTGCCATTTACTGCATCACTCCTTGATTTTGCTTGGCTGGTTAAAATATATTCAAAAAGCTATCACTCTTATGTACGTAATAAACCCTATATATATATATATATATATATATATTCAAATAGGTCATTAACCTTTAATAGGATAAGGATCAATGCATGCATGATAAAAATGTAGGGTTTATTTTAAGAAAATTGTATAAATATATAGGAAAAGTGACATAGTTAAAAGGGTTACATATATATATATATATATTAGTTTTTCTTGTTGCTCTCTCACTTAGATCATCAAAAGTCGAGAATTACCAAGTAGGAACACTGGGCAAATGCTTTTTTTGCTGGGAGTGAAGTATGGGTAAAGATTGCCCCACTTCTCTTTCGCAAGAAAATCTTGCTTAGAAGAATATATTAAATCAAAATCAATTTATTTATTTTATTAATTGGAGTAAGTACAAGATAGTATTTGTTTAAAGATAATTTTCAGTCTTTTGACATTAAAAGCTCATACCCTGGTATTCATAGTGTTAAAATCCGGATCCTTAAGAAACACCAACAATTCATTTACTACGTAGGTTACTTGGTTCGTATTAATTCAAATCAAATTAAATATATATAGACACCCATTTTTTTGATTGGGATTAAAATATATATTATATTTATTATTATATACTAAAGTATAATAATAATAATTATTATTATTACTAATATCATTTTATTTATATTTTATGTAGGCCAACAATTGACAATTATAAGTCCAGAATATACACTCACTGCTCACATCGCCAACTCCAATTAGCCTTTGTGTCAACGACAAGATCTTATTCTCACTAACAGCTCGGGCCATTTCAATCGAACTCATCAAATCACATGTACCAAAGTCAATCAAAATTAATGGTTTCACCTAACCCATCAACATTATACCAAACGTAAAGAAAATGTAGATGCATCTAGGGATGGTAACTCAACCCGAATCCGACGGGTTCCGACCCGACCCGACCCGATCGAGTCGGATTTTTTAAAAAAAAAATTCGGGTTCGGGTCGGGTCGGGTTTTTTTTAAATGCACTGTTCGGGTCGGGTCGGGTCGGGTTTAGGGTAAAAAAAAATCCGACCCGACCTGACCCGAAAAATATATATAATTTTATCTTATATATTTAGGGATAATTACAATAATATCCCTCCATATATAATTTTTTTCAATTAAGTCACTGTTTTCATTGAATTAAATTTTTTTATTTATTTCGGGTCGGGTCGGGTCGGGTTTCTAAGTCATATATTCGGGTCGGGTCGGGTCGGGTGAAACATTAATTTTGTCGGGTCGGGTCGGGTCACGGGTGGAGAACCCTTTCTTCTCGGGTCGGGTCGGGTGGCCCAAAAACCCGACCCGACCCATTGCCATCCCTAGATGCATCTAAGGAGATTCGGTGAAGATTTCAACAATAAAATCGAAGAGGAATCAAGAAAAAAAAAGAGAAAAGGGGGAGAGGACTCTGGAGGCCATTCGAACATAAAAAATACAGAGGAAATTTCACAGAGAGATTCAAAAAGAAAAACTAAAAAAAGAAGTTTATCTTATTTTTGGAAGCTCTCGTCGGAGAAGAAGAACCCCGTCATAAAGGTAAAAAGTTTTAGTTTTTAAAGTTGTAATTTCGAGTTTCAAAGGAAAGGGGTCGGTTTTGGGATTTTTGAAGGTTTGAAAGTTAAAGAATAGAGAACAGGGAGGTTAAATGAGAGGCGGCAGAGAGAAGACAAATAAGTGATAATTTAGAGAATTACACATAAAAGGGGTTTGGAAAAGGGTTTTAACGTGTCTTGTAACTTGTAATATTTTTTTTGGTATTAAAAAAGAGTCCATTTATATTTACGTAGGCCCAATGTAGTAGCTCACATGTTACAATATATATACATTATATAATAAAAAATGAAAAGAAAACAAAAGCCCTAGTGTATACTCATACTACAGCCGTCGGTTTTGCTTCAAAAACAAGGAGAAAAATTGTTTTGAAAAGCCAAATATGTGATGGCATTTAATTGGATCAATTCTTTTAGGTGAAATTTGTTTTATTATCGTTTATAATCCTTAATTTTGTTTGTAATTACACTTCTTCATTACTCATGTTTTTGATAATATTGATATGAATCATTTAATTTAATTTGGAATATTATTTTTGCTTATGCGTATGTAGATTTTCAAATTTTGTTAATAAATTAATATTAAATTTATAGATTTTAATTGTAACAGGCTTTGTCTTTGGTCACTATATAAATAAACTTATGGTTAAATTACTTAAGAGATTATAACTATTTTGATCTTTCATTTGATCATTCTTTGAGTATCATGTATAGTATTTTGTGGTTTAGTTACATTTTTAGTAGTTGTGTTTTTTTTATTTGTTCATTTTAACCTCATATTCCATATACGTATATATCTTAGATTTTAATTAGTTTTGACGTCATTGTTAACATTAAATATTTAATGGAACATGTGTGTTTTATTATTATTAAAGATATTAAATACCTTTATATTTGATACTACTATTTGCCAAGATTTTTATTCGAACATTAGTAATAATACTCATCGTAGAATATGTGTGAAAAGCACTACCTTATAGAGGTAGTACGATTCAATACAATATTTGAACGAAATGGAGAATTTAAAATAAGTCAAATATTCCATTAAATGACGACGATATTTTTATTCTATTCTATGATATTTTATTCTATTTAAATTTAAGTATTGACAATTTATGTTTCTAGATAATTCTATATAAAATTCAGATATTGAGTTTTTACTCGATTTTAATATTTTCGAATAAATAGTTGGGAGAATATTCTTTTACAGATAAGAAATAGATGAAATAACTTTCTCGATAGAGGATTGTTAATATTGAGATTTCTTTTCAAATTAAAGAATTTTCTCTAATGAATTAATTAATTTGAAGCAAATTAATATTCAATAAACGAATCATATTTTGACTTGATATTTGATTCATGATTTAACACCATTTAAGACAATGTATAAGTGATACAGTATCAATTTTGGGCGCTGTGGGGTGCTAATCCTTCCCCACGCGTAACCGACTCCCGAACCTGTTTTAATCGAATCTTTGGTAAACGCAGACCAACTTTTGTCTAAAAAAATGATTTTTTCTTAAAATTATTTTTAAAAGACGTTTTTTAGGTATTCGACCTACCTAACCCAAAAGTCGATGACGACTCTTTTCAATTTAATCCAATTTAATTCAAAATCACCCATTTTCCAAAACTAAAAGTCGTAACTGTATTTTAAACAATCAAACGATTGTTTCAACCAAAAAACGGTTACGACAGCTTGACGACTCTACTGGAGACATTTTTTAGAGAGTCAGTCTATAAGTCACTTACACATTGTCGTTTGGTAGAAATTATGAGTTCGAGTCTTTAGTTAACTTATGATCATTTTATTGAAGTTTTTGATTGCTTCATTTTATTATTGTTTTACTAACATTTTTATCTTTGTTTTCAGATTTGTCCAAAGTTTTGTCGAGTAGTTTCGTTTTCCTTTTGAGTCAAAGGGCTGAATGTTCCTCCTCACAAACATCACCGGCATTTGCATACCATAAGCTCACTTACGAGCTTTGTCCCTTTTAAGTTGAGATGAAAGCTTAACCTACATGAGATAATCTGTTTCTCCGCACGGGTTTTAGCAAGTAATCTTTGGAGTTCATATACCTTATGTCTACGTGAGATAAATTGTTTCTCCGCATGGACATAAGAGAATGTATCCTCTCGAATTGAACTCGATCCGTACGAGTCTGTAATGGGTCAGGATTGAGGGTTTGGTAGCCCAAGGGGCACCAACATTAAGGACAATTCGAGTACATTTTTCCCGTTAGAACCAAAACTATGCATATAGTGAACTGTTACCCTAGGATTCAGGCCCCATAGTCTGCCGAGACCATTTTCGAGTACTCGAGTAGTATTCTTCGTGTTCTTGTTGTACCCGGATTTTGTTAATAAACATACTCTATCCAGAATTTTGTGTGATTGTGGACTGATAATTTTTTGCTTGTTTTGGTTACATCAAGCTGTTGTTTCTTCACACACTTCATCTCATTCCTGGGACTGCACTGTTTCTCTGTTAGCTGTAAATCAACCAATGGTCCCAGGAATCAGGCCCCATAGTCTGCCAAGACCATTTCCGAGTGCTCGAGTAGTATTATTCGCATTCTTCTTGTACTCTGATTATGTTAATCAACATACTATATCTTGAATTATGTATGATTGTGGACTGTGATAGTTTTTTTTTGCCTAAAGGTGTTTTATATGTCAAGCACTTCATCTAGTTTGATTGACACTGGCATCCTTTCAGTCAAGGCATTGGCTTTTCCATCATAGATCTTGATCACACACATAAAATGGAAATATGGGACTGAATAAATATACATACACATTTGGGTGTCAATGGCAGGTTATGCTCCCATTCCAGGCATGCCGCCGCCGATGATGGCACCACCTGGTGCTCCTTTGCCGGGACAAGTTAACAGCCTTCCACGACCTCCTACATTGGCTACCCCAACGACAGTTGCTGGAACTGCGACGACACCCACTTCTTCTAATGGAACCCCGGCCACGTCTGCACCGTATCAGGTCAGTTCTGCTGCCTCAACGAGTGACGGGTTCGACAATTTCAATGCCCATACACAACCTTCTGAAGCTAATCACTAATCTGGTTAAACTCGCATGCCCTTGCTTCCATATCTAAAGTAAGAGGTTAAGCCCTATATATGTTGTTGAACATGAAGCTTTGGTGGTCGGTGAAGGGGGATTTTGGTTAAATTTAAAGGTAAAATTGATATATATATATATATTTGAAAAAAATTAAGGGGTTAAAATGATGTTTCATTTAAAGATAGGGGTCAATTTGATAGTTAACCATTAGGCACTAACCCACTCATCTTCATGGAGTTTCTTTCTGCCATTTACTGCATCACTCCTTGATTTTGCTTGGCTGGCTAAAATATATTCAAAAAGCTATCACTCTTATGTACGTAATAAACCCTATATATATATATATATATATATATATATATATATTCAAATAGGTCATTAACCTTTAATAGGATAAGGATCAATGCATGCATGATAAAAATGTAGGGTTTATTTTAAGAAAATTGTATAAATATATAGGAAAAGTGACATAGTTAAAAGGGTTATATATATATATATATATTAGTTTTTCTTGTTGCTCTCTCACTTAGATCATCAAAAGTCGAGAATTACCAAGTAGGAACACTGGGTAAATGCTTTTTTTTTTGCTGGGAGTGAAGTATGGGTAAAGATTGCCCCCTTCTCTTTCGCAAGAAAATCTTGCTTAGAAGAATATATTGAATCAAAATCAATTTCTTTTTTTATTAATTGGGGTGAGTACAAGATAATATTTGTTTAAAGATAATTTTTAGTCTTTTGACATTAAAAGCTCATACCCTGGTATTCATAGTGCTAAAATCCGGATCCTTAAGAAACACCAATAATTCATTTACTACGTAGGTTACTTGCACTACAAGAAAATATACTTTTAATGACACACGAACGATAAAAAACGCTAATTTATGACTTGCAAAACATATGTGTCAAAAAAATGTCATGTTTTTTAAAATCTGAATAATTTATGACTTACAAGAATGTGTGTCATATTTAATAGTCATAATCTAAAAAATTTGCAAAAACACGGAGTACAGTTTTAATTGTGTGTCATCTGTAAAAATCATATTTTATTTCCGCCCATTATTTTCATCCTTTCCCGCTTCTTGCTTCCCTCATTTTTCTCTTTTTCCCTTTTTCTCTTTGCAACCTCCCACTGGTTAAGCTCCCTCTGCCCCTCAAGGCTACACCCTCTTCTTCAACGAGGTATGGAAGTGGTTGTTTGGTTTAGGATTTTTCTTTTCATTTTTGGTTTACTTGTTTCTGGAATGAATTTTCGACTCAGCTCGTTTCCAGAGCCGACTCCACAAATTGGTTTAAGGATGATATTCCTAAATTAGCCGATATGCTACTGTGTTTGCCTTTCCTTATAGACCTTCACTATCAGAATACGCAGCATTATGGATACGGTCTCCGCATATTGGGTCCGCAGCAACCAGGCGTGGTGCTTCTCTCCCAGGTTTTTTTTTTGTACTTGTCTCTTCTATTATTAATGCTATACTAATACTTACTCGCCTGCTTAATTCAGAAGTCTCATGCTTGAATTTGATTCATATCTAATCTACATCTCAGGAGTTGATCGCCGCTCTACTTGCATGCTCTTTGTTTTGTTTGTTTCTAATCTCTGATAGAGGTCCAAGACATCTGCCAACTATCAACTTTGATCAATTGTTTGCGTATGTCGACTCTCTTTTGCAACTTGTCTTGCTATCAATCATCACTTCTCATTAGTTTCTGCTTCTGTTATTGTGCATCTTTCCTCCCTCTTCTTCAACCTGACGCATTTACCCTGCACGTTGCCACTTGGGAAATTTACTTTCAAACATGGACAGACGCATGATTTTTATTAGGGGGTGTGGACTTAGGAACTTATATTAGGAATTTAGGGCGTATGAAATTATAAAATTTCAGGGGGTGCAAAATTAAATTATCAGTAGAAAATACAAAGAAAATACCTAAACTATTAGAGAATTTGAAATTTCCAGGGGGTGAGAACGCACCTCCAAGAACCCCTCGGTCCATCCCTGCTTTCAAAGCTTCATTTTTCTCTTCTTATATTCAAAATACTAAATGAACTCTATATGTACATGTACGTATTCTCAGGAGTCTCTATGAAAGTTATAGTGAGAGCCAAGAAAATAAGTTGAGGTGCATTGTGCACTATTTCCAAAGGATATGTTTGCAAATGCCTACAAGATCTGTCTCATTTGAGCGCAAGCTTCTCTCTTTAGGACACCAGCCTTTGCAATCATGCCTTTCTTATCCATATGCTGATTTTTGGACCAAATCAACTATCCCTCTGTGCCCTTTTCAGGTAACAGTTCAACTTATAGAACATATTTATAAACTCAAATTTCAATATTACAACTTGGCCTATCTTTTTCTGTACCGACATCCTATCATTGTAGTGAGCCAATCCTTCTGTTATCTGTCTATAACGATACAGGTTCACAGCTCAGGTTTAATAGAAGATCATGCTATTGGGACACTTGAAGTGGACTTTGAAAATAAATATCTAGGAGGTGGTGCTCTAAATAGGGACTGTGTGCAGGTCTGATTTTTCTTTTTCGCTTCATTGACACTGTTAGTGACATTGTATACTACTGTTCCATTTTTCTCTCTTGATTCTTTCACCGTTTACTCTATCAATTATTTCCAAAAACATTGTTTACTGGTTGATTATTTTTCAAACTTTTAATAGGAAGAAATTCGCTTCATGATCAATCCCGAACTGATTGCTGGCATGTTGTTCTTGCCTTCGATGGCAGACAATGAATCTATAGAAATTGTCGGAGTAGAGAGGTTCTCTGACTATACAGGGTATAAACTGTAAGCATGTAAAGAGATCTGGTAGCATTGAGTATTTCATTTTATATGATATGCATGTACTGCAGTTACTTGTAATAGTGCCTGAAGTATACAAACTTCTATTTGATTTTCATATAAATTTATCTTGCTGTAAAAGTCATGAAACTCATGTTGCATGGGTTTTGTATCTGTTTGATGACTAACTGTCTTTACTCTCTCATTTTTTTTAGTTAACTTATGATAATGATATCATTTTAGCTAGTGTAGGTATTCCTCTTTATTTCGGTTTACTGGTGACTATGTGGACAAAAGGAATGTTGGTTCCCTTGGAAGACGTAAAACCAGAATTCTTGCCATGGATGCTTTGTGCAGTCCAAGAATGAAGCAGTACAAACTTAATTACCTTCTTCGGTATGTAAATTTTTGGTTTTGATTCACATTATGTTATACCAGGTTTGTAGAAAAATGAATAGTAAAATATATGACAGCCGGTAGGACAGAAAATTACTATTAAGTTTCCAGCTGCGACTGATGGTGCTTTAAGAACACTGCATCGAGACTTAACCCAAATTTAAGAAAGAAATCAACCTAGCACAGAGCAATTTTGTTCCTCTAGACAGAAAAGCTTTTCCTGCAAATATGCATGAAGTAAAGAGCTTTAGGAAAATTTTGCACGAATAGCTTCACCCTACATGAATGTGTAGACACGCAACATGTGTAATACCTATAAGTGCCTTCTTTGCATCAAGTCTTTGGTAAGTATTTAACTGTGGTATGACTGGAATTTGTGTTTGGTGTGTGGTGTAGTGTTTTCCTTATTATGGTGTGGTTTGTGTTGTGTAATGAGTTACTTCTGTCAGCAAAAAATACATACTGCTTGAAAACCCTGCCGAGACTGAAAGCAGAGTATTACTTGTGAACTTGTTGCTTGTTTCAGACTCTTTTTTGTTTTAAGTATAATATTGTTCCTCAATGATCTGTTTGCTTTCCTATCCTAATAATTGTTAAAGAGTTACTGCACCCAAGTTGGTAGGTTGACTTGAGTTTGTGAAAATTCTCAACTAAATAAACTTGGATGAAAATTAAATTTGTTTTTCATATCTTAATGCATTGCCCTGAAATACTAGTTCTGACAGCACTAATTTGTTTTTCTTATACTTTTAATGAAAATTAAATTTTAAATGCATTTAAGCTATTGAGTTGCCAAAAGGTTTATGCTATAGGTTGCAAATTGCTTATATGATATGGAGCTTATTATGTACTGGTTGTGCAAAATTTTTACATCTTTGTTTTATTTTGCTTACCTTTTGTTGATATTGTTTTTGCATATTCTAAGCATCCTCATTTTTTTTGTTGTCAATACAGGTTTGGCAACACTGCATATTTGCACATATATGTGGCTTTTATCCAGATGCTCAAAGCTCTAAGTATGTGGAAACAAAGTGCATTATTTGATTACATCCAACGAAATCACTTTATAATTGTAATGACTGGCTATTTATGTTTGCAATATTACAGTGCCAGTGGCAACATTTTTCATAGGTGTCATGTGTATATATTGTATGCAAATGAATTGTTTATATATATAATATGATATATATATATATATATTTAGTATTATGAGGCATTAAATGTGATTTAGTTTGATTATTTGTCAATCTACAATATATATATATATAATTTACGAAATATAATCACGACACAGGAATGTGTGTCATCTTCATTTATGACGGGGGCTTCAATAACGCGCAATGTAAGTCATACACGCGTGTCATAAATTTATGACGCACAAATGTGTCATCTTAATTTATGACGGGGGCTTCAATGACACTCAATGAACGTCGTTAATGCGCGTCATAAATGTGTGTCATAAATGCGCATCATAGATTTATGACACACAGTTGCGCGTCATCTGAAATTCATGTCGGTGGCTTCAACGACAGGCAAATGTGTGTCATTCGCACCCATAGATAACGCGCAATGCGCGTCATTAAAGGGTTTTTTCTACTAGTGTTGGTTCGTATTAATTCAAATCAAATTAAATATATAAATCGATATTGATTTTATAGATAACTTTACATTTGATATCAACTTGAATGCATGCTGAACTTGTACTAATCTGATACAAATTACCATATTTGATGTTTGAATATGGAAATATTATTAATAAAAAAGGAATATGGAAATATTATAATTCAAAATCCAATTATATAAAATATAAATTATACTTATATCCAGAAACAGATGTAAAATTTTATATTAGGAGATGAATTTATAAAATTTAAAAAGGACGGAAATAAATTCTCAATTAAAAAATACAAAAAAAATTTCTAAAATATAAAGAGATTTAAAATTTTCAGAAGACGGTCATTTCACCACCCCTCGATCTATCTTCGCTTATATTTCTATATACACATATTTTTCACTTGTACTAGAGTTCGAATAGTATAAACATATGCGCTTAAAATTGGATAATTGATGCATAAACCTACATCCATTTCTCAGTTGACGTAATCCTGGTGATTCATAGGCATCGTATTCAGGGATGGATGGCATTTAGGGATAGGCATAAAGATTTATATTAGATGGATAAATTTAAATTTAAGGGGATAAACTTGAATTTATAAAATTTCAGGGGTAAAAACAGATATTCAATAAAAAAATATATGATAATTTAAAATTTAAGATTTTCAATCGTCAACCAAATTATGAATTGTCCCTTTATTCTCCCAAAGGTCATTGTCCTGTTCACATTGAACTAAGATTAGGACTGACATTTACGTTAATATATTTTTGTTGTCTAAATTCTGATCTAAAACTTTAAAGTTCCTAATTGATTTTGACCCATCTCAATATTTAGTAGATTCATCCGTTATGTATTTTTTTTTCTTCAAATTTTAGTGTAAAAGTATGTTCTTATCCTTACACGAATAATTTTATTTTCATCTATGTTTAATAAGATAAAGAAATAATTAAATATATACAGATATATATGAGTATTATAATAATAATTTGACTATTCGTTTCAAATTTAAATAAATAATAATAATACTCTAATCAATTCAAGAACTATTAAATTTAGATAATTTAATCATCCTTAAACAGCAATACATTACTTGATTGTCACAAAAGCATAAACTATTAAATTTAGGTAATTACTATTATTTTAGGTAAATGTAGAAATAATTTTTGAGAAAGATTATGATTATAATATTAATCTTTTCAAAAGTATTTTTATGTAAAATCTATGATTGTAACGTCTAATAATATTATATTTGAAATTTAAAATTGGGCTTCTCTAAAAAAATGTAATCTACTTAAATTTTATTAAACAAATGGGTAAAGTACATAAATGGTCTCTTGATTATAGGATGTTACTTGGTTGAGTCCTCTAACTATTAAAAGTTCAAAATTGTCCCTTGATTATAGGACGTTGTTTTATTAAGTCTCCAAATTATTAAAAGTTGTAAAATGGTTACTCGACTATTAATATATTCCAAACTCGTCATTTTTCGTTAAAAAATGACAACAATCTAAGCTAAACATTAACTTGTTGAATGAGATATGATGAAATAGGATCTCAGAATCTCAAATGGTTATACATCTCAAATGATTATAGGATCAGATTTTATCATATCCCAATTAGTAGATTAACGCCCAGATCAAGCGATCATCATTTTTCTAATAGAAAATGACGAGTTTGGAAAATATCAATAGTCGGCTGATCATTTTTCTAATAGAAAATGACGAGTTTGGAAAATATCAATAGTCACTGATCATTTTATAACTTTTAATAGTCGAGTGACTCAACAAAGCAACACTCTATAGTCAAGGGATAATTTTGTAACTTTTAATATTCAATGGACTCAACAAGTACTTTACCATAAACAAATTTAGTTTATATAGCTTTAAAATCATTAAAAAAAACCCAGATTTATTTCACAAAAGTTAACAACACTAATATTAGCAAGTAACTCAAATACATAGTTCAAATCATAATATTTTTCATCACTTGGCCAAGGAAACTAACCAAACATACATAGGGATTACGATGGATAAATATTGTAGCCTATCAAGGCCAGAGAAAAGCTCCCATGGCGAAGCTTCTCTTCTGTTCGACGTTGCTGGAAACGGATAGTCCGTACTCTTTTAGCAAACAATCGAGCTTCCATTCCGGCATTGCCTCGTAGTCGGCTTTGGTGTACTTCGGGTAGTGCAACGGCATCTTGAAATGGCCACACCAAGTCCTAGCCTGTGTCGGTACCGCCTTTTGATTGTCGTTCGACCCACTTCCTAGGGTTGGAGTTGGCGATACATTGGCTACTGGTCCGAGTGGTTCCATGCCCATTTCTGCACCCATCGAGGCTCCGACCACGGTGTGGCTACTTTAGTCCGCCTTGTATGGTTGGGATTTAGGAGAGTGATGCAAATTTGGAGTAGGTGGTGACCCTTTTTATAGTGGATTTAATGTGAGCTATGTTAGCTTCTTTCATATACTCTCATGTTATGCTTTCTAAACCTTTTCTATTTCTATGAGTGTCGACACCATTTTTTAATATGGATAATTATTAAAATATAAATATCAAATCGTATATCAATAATATTATTAATGATTTATATAATATTGATTTGTTAAAATTATTTAAAATTATTATTATATAAATTTATTAGATGATAAAATTTGAATGAATACCGAATGAAAAATTCATAATAATGGTATTTGCAATAATGATTTGATCTGATCATCCCCACCCGGTAGCCATGTAGGGAACAATGAAGCATTATTGTTAGTATATATAAAATATTATTTGATAGGTTGTCCATGAATTTTTTAAGATTTATTTATTTTTTTAAATAATAATAAATGTGATATAATAAATTATAAATTCACTTATAATATTAAATTTTCCAACATCAATATACTAGATAGTTTTATAGTTTAACAAAACAGGTAAATCACCTCTCCAAAAAAGATATAAAAGTCGAGTATGTATTTAATCACTCAATTATTTTTGTAGTTCATTTTTATTATTAATTTATTATTATTTTGTAAAATTATACATAAAATTAAATTTTGATAAGTTGTTAAAAAATTTACAAAATTATTGAAGTGATAATGTTTTATTTTTTCAATGATAATGTGACATTATTTTATGATGATACATGATCATTATCGTTAGTTTTTACTAAAACATAAAATTAAATATAATTTTTAAAAAATAATAAGTAACAAAATGAATTCACAGGAATAATTGAGTTGATTTAAATATACAATTTACCCGAAAGATACAATAGGATAAGATCATATTAATGCACAGTGCACGCTGGTAGTTGCCTAGAATTTTGTTGGACGACAGCAACATCTGGTTCCACGCATATTCCCATTTAGGGTGTTTACCGAGTGGATTGCGAGTTGAATAGTATATGCTTCGTGCTTGTTAAAAAGTTTTATTGTTGGATTGTTGTTTGTTAAGTTCGTTAAAATATTGATCGATTCGTGTTAGTTAAAAAGTTTTATTGTTTGACTCGTAGTTCGTTAAGCTCTCCTAATTTTTTACCTTATTTTCTTAACTATAGGTAAAATCTAATAAT